TACACCGTATATATAGCCCGATTGTGTCCTATCTTGTACTGTACTAACAGTATACTTGGTATTGGTTCTTATGATACGTTAACAAAAAAAATTATATTTAGTTTTTTTTTTAAAATTATTATAATATATTTATATACAGTTAAGTTATAAACAACAAAAAATTTTTTTAATTACTTTAAACAATGTGCGGCTGTTATAATCCAATTGGCATTTAATACAACACCAGTACAGTAATCACTATAAATTTTTTATTTATTTTTAAAAAAAATATCTATATATATAAGTATATTAAATGTTTTGTAATTATATATGAAATAATTTATATATATATATATATATATTGTTTGGTTAATTTTAATAGTGGCAAAATTTGTTTATTTTTTTAAAATAAAATTATATTGATAATTTTTTGATTAATTAAAACTACTTGATTTTTGACGCCTAACTATAAATATGGTATATTTAAATATTTTCAATCATAATATATATATTTAGTTTTATAATAATTTATTATTATATCTAATTTTACTGTATAAATGCCGGTCATAATATTTATAAATATAAAATCATTGAATATTATAGAAAATTATTATTAGTTTTTTTTTTGGTATTATAATATAAATTATTTTTTTTATTAATTAACATAAAAAGTTTAAGTTAATTATTATGAAATATCTTTATGATTGTAAAATTTTAGCTAATATTGTATATATATATATTTATATTGTATCGATATATATATATATATTTAAATCAATTGATGTTTTTTATGTATATATATATATATAAAAATACCCTTCAGTTTTCCAAAGTCCCCAAAGATATCGACTGCCGGTAATCATTGCAATCCATGGGAACTCTCCCGGAAAGGGTAACCGTCCCTTTTGTAGACTACTAGTCTCATCGGATAGCCATCTGAGACAGTGTCCACCGACGGAAGTATTAGACGACGACGACGACATCAGTGGCGACTGTCGGCCGATACCACACGTCCCGAGCGTTACGTTCGGGTAATGTTTGATACGTGAAGTCAAACCATTGTTTACTAAAACTATTAATACTATTAGAGATATTTTTTTTAATTACATATATTTTAATCAATTTTTTTTAATTTGTTGTTATTATAAATAATTAAATTAAAAACTATGATATAAATACTTAATATTTGTTGTCGATTAAAATTTAACATTTTAGTGATTTAGTTATATGTATAGCTATTTAAAAACAAATTGTATTTTATTTTTTAAAAAAAGTTATTTTCAAAAAGTTTCTTAAATTTGAATTTTTAAAAAATTTGAATTTATTTTATTTTTTATAGAAATATTTTTTCTAATGATATTAAAAGTAATATAATATTTGTAATACAATAAGATATTTTGTTTTTGTAATAAATTGTTTTAATATAAAAGTATAATAAGTATATTATTATTTTTTTGTAATTTAATAATTGTTATTTAATATATATATATTATAAAAGAATAAAATATTAATTAATATTTATAATACTAAATAGTAAATATTTTTTTTTGAAATATTAATACTGTATATTATAAATATTAATATAAATTTAAAACCGTTTTAAAAAAAATTTTATAAATTATTTTATACATTTTGTTAATTTGAAAATTAAAAATAAAATTGTAATAGTATTATCAAATTTCATATAAATATTATTTTACTATTTATATTAAAAAAAATAATAAATTCAGTATATTTTTACACTATTTTTTATTATTTAACGACAATATAATTGATATTTAAAAAAAAAAATTACACTTTTGTTTTATTTTGTTTTAATTAATAAATTTGTAATTTTTATAAATAAATTATTGAATATATAATATTATTGAATTAATAAATAGTTTTTTATTTAAATATAATGTTTTATTTGTTTTATATAATTATTAATCACTAACATTAAATTTATGATTAATTTTTTTATAAATATACGGTAAATATGTTTATATATTATAATAATTTATAGATTATAAATATAATAGTTAACTAAAATTGAAATAAAAATTTAACAATATAAATTACTGTATAATAAACTACAAATTGATATTTTAGTTAATTTAAATTTTATAAATTATTTTTTTTATTATTATTTTATTAGTTATTAATTATTTCAAATTATTCAATTAATTAAAAACAATTGAAAATTAAAATATTTTATTAGAGTATAATAATTTAGCACAAAATTATTATTTAACTTATTTTTAAACAAACAAAAAAAGTTTTTATACATAATAACACAATATATATTTATATAGTTAATATTATAGCTTATAACATAACATAATTATCTAATTAAAAAAACATTTTTTTTAATCTACTAAAAATTTAAATAAATATATTATTTGTAAATTTAATATAAATAAATGTTAACAATGTAAGTTACAAATAAAATAATAAAACAAACAAATTTTATTTGTATTTTTTTAGATAAAGATAAAAGTGCATCAATTAATTTATAATATATATGTAATGACAATTGAAAACATGAATTTAATTAAAACAATTTATTTATTTAGTTTCTTATTATTATTAATAATAATAATAATTAATTTTTTGTTGTTAAATCAATTAATGAATTAAAATTAACTGATATTAATTTAATTAGTTATTATTATTATTATTATTGAAATTTTTATCGGCAATACTGATTAGGCATTTAAAGTTTGTTTTTTAGTAAATCTCAAATTTGTTTTATTTTTTAATACAAAAAAAGCCATTAATTAAAATTATATTATTTTTAAACGATTGTATAGTTCACACAAAAAAAAACAAACTAAACAATTGCCCGAAAAAAATAAAATAACTAAAAAATCAATAAAAATAATACAATTCATTGAACTCGAGTCCAGTCGACTTAAAGAACAGCCAACTGATGGCTTCTCCGTCTACTATCTCAGTCTGTGTTGATTTGTTTCGGTGACCTATAATTAAACAGACAATTATAAAAAAAAATTATTTATTTTTTCTATTAGATAATACAACTAGAGATGGGGCAAATAGAAAGTTTCTAATAAATTTTTTAGTGAGAAAGTTTCTAGAAAATTTCTCACTTGAATAAATTTCTATAGAAATTTAACTTTATTGTTATACTATATGGGATCCCCATATCTATAACTATTGTAATAATATATATAAATAATTAGACATAAACTACAGTATACTATACACTACTATACAAAAATGCGATACCTATATGTAAAATAATTATAATTATTTAATAATAATAATCAGTTTTGTAAAATTTTAATAATCATTTTATTATATATATAAGAATGTAAAATAATTTTTAAAAAATTAATTGTTACTTTAATTGATAATTAAAATATTAATACTAATATTTAATTATTATTTAAAAAAAACAATGTATTGTTACATAATAACATATATCGAAAAAAACACAAAAATTAATATGGGGGGGGGAATCCCATAGATAGAAATTTCCTTTAGAAACTTTCTAGAAATTTTCCATTTTTGCCAACACTAAATACAACTAATAATTGTTTTTTTTATAAAAAAAATTATTTAAATTGGGTTTACCTTTGATGACAACGATATCATCGCTAACTGTTGGCGATTGAAATGTGAGAAGTAGTTCATTAAAGTTACCCTTTTTGACAGTCAACGGCCTCTTGAGCTTTACGTGACAGTCCTTGTCCTTAGAGATGACCAAAGTTATCGAGTCGTCCACAGTATCCTTAAAAATAATAATAAATAAATAAATAATGGATCAGTTTATACAACAACAACAACAAAAAACAGCATTTTTTAAAAAAAAAAAGTAATAAATATTAATAATAATTCAAGTATTAATGTTATCCTAAAAAAGTTATCAACAAATATTTATTCAAAAAAAATAAAAATTTTATTTTTAACACTTAATCATGATTTTAATTAAATGATTTTTTGTTGTTGAAATTTTTTAATATTAATGTTTGATGTTAATGTCATGTGTATGTTTTATATATATATATATATACTTAATAATAATAATTATTATGATATCATATGTATATAGTTTTTATAATTAGTATATAATTTAAAGGGAATTTTAGTGGGAATATATATATATATATATATATATATATATATATATATATATAAATTATGAGTAACAAAATTTTTAAAAAAAAATATTTATCATTTACTTTAATAATAGTTTAAATTTAAAAAAAAAATCTCTCACTTAACAACTATATATAAATATTATAAATTATTGCTAAGTTATGCTAAAAACAATGATAATTTACAAATAGTCATACAAAATAAATATAGTTATTTTGAAAAAAATATCTAAAAAAAATTGTGATTTTTTGGGATTAAATAAAATTTATTTATTTTTTAAAATAAAATATTATAAAAAATAGTTATTTATACCAATAGTATGGCGTCGTCCTGTGACTTTTGATCCAACATTGTTTCATTAGGTAAACCCATTTTGGATGTAAATTTTAGTTGACAATCAAGTTTAGGTGTACGTACAGAATAATACCTGTGCCCACAACCACCACCACCCCAGACATTATTTAGAGATAGAGAGAGAGAGAGAGAGAGAGAGAGAGAGAGAGAGAAATTAGTTAAATAATCAAAATAAATTACTAAATAAATTTTTTTAATAAACCTAGACTACTAACCCTGGATCTAATCGGATAGGAATGGATGCGCCGACTATAAACAAATCGGAGTTGACCACTTGAAATTTGGTGCAAACAGTTTTAATTGGTTTACTACCGCCGGCACCCTGGGAGGCGTGGGCCAGGGTTGTCGTTGTTGCGTAAGTGACCGGCTTATAGCGTCTGACAGTGAAATATTCAGCTAAAAATTTTTGTTGTTGTTGTTGTGTGGGGTTTGGGATATAGATATATATAAAGTATATACAGATTATGATTAGACAGTTTCAATAGGATAGATATGATTGTATAGTATACTACCAGGTATTACAAGTGTTGATAGATATGGGAGGAGTATTCGGGTTTGACAGGTATTACACAACCATTAGTTTATATATATTAAATATGTGATAAACTATACATTTAATTTTATTTTTAAAAAATGACCAAGGCTATAATTGTAGATAATATTATTAATAACTCGACATTAATTGTAATTGATCATTTTTGTTGTTGATTAATTATGAAAATTAACCTAGATAATAGCATTGACATTTAAATAGTTGACTACATAATATACTATTATCTAGTTAATTTTCATAATTAATCAACAACAACAAAATGACCAAGCGCATAATTGTAAATAATATTAAACTCGACATTAATTGTAATTGGTCAATTTTTCTTATTGATTAATTATGGAAAATTAACCTAGATAATTAAGTATATTATGTAGTCAACTATTTAAAAATGTCAATGCTATTATCTAGTTAATTTTCATAATTAATCCCAAAAAATATGTTACAATTACAATAATTTTGAGTTATTAATATTATCTACAATTATGTTCTTGGTCAATTTTTAAAATTTCAATGTATAGTTTATGAGATATTTAATATATAAACTAATGGTTGTGTCTAATACCTGTCTCTAACCTGAATACTCTACCAAATGTATTACAACATATCTATCAACACTTGTAATACTGTATACTATTATTATTATTATTGTTATTACTACTACTACTACTAACGGGGAGCGCATCGGGGAGTAGTCTCCTGCGACAGTCCTTTGGGCACCGGGACTATACCCGGAATGGCCAGATTCATGAATATGGCTATCTGTTCCGATTTACCCATAAATGCGTTATCCATTGGCAGATACGATGACGGCATGTCGTGTTGTTCGTTGTTTTCGTTGTTTTTTGTCGGTATAGGATTGACAGTTGTCTGGGATATAACTCTTGCAAACTCCTCGTTAGACATCGTCAGGAATCTTAGGTTTTTCATTACAGTACTAAATAAATAACAATTAAAAAAAATTTATAATTAGTTTCAATATATATATATAGTATATAATTTAGTGAGAATTTAGTGAGGAATTTATTAAGAATTTTAGTGGGGAATTTAGTGGGGAATTTAGTGGGGAATTTAGTGGGGAATTTAGTGGGGAATTTAGTGGGGAATTTAGTGGGGAATTTAGTGGAGAATTTAGTAGGGAATTTAGTGGGAATTTAGTAGGAATTTATTGAGAATTTTAGTGGGAATTTTAGTGTGGAATTTTAGTGTAGAATTTAGTGAGGAATTTAATGGGGAATTTACTCAAATTTGGCAAAAATTTAATCGTTTATAAATGCAATACAAAATGTTCACCCCCTATACCCACCCTAAACTTTTTCAAGTTTTTTGCCATTTTACCCTACCCTATACCCCTCCCACCCCTTGAAATCGGAAAATCTTTAGCAACCCTAATATACAACGAAAGTATATACCTATCATCCAATAGTCCTCTAATAACTGTCCAATCATTGGCATTAGCCGACCGCCGTTTAGACTCGTTTTGTGTCCATTGAACCACTGAATTGAATAATGAAAACTCTGAATACAGATTCAGATAACGACGACCGACTATAAACTCCAGTGTAGATAATTGAATGTTACTATTGATTTAATTACAGTAAAAATGTTTTTTTTTTAAATTAATTAAAAGTTTTTTTATTTATAAAAAATAATAATTTATTAATTGATTGATTGATTTACTAAACTTGAATGACTTATGGGTAATAACGTGATAGGTTTGCCTATCAATGGTGTTCATCGACTGATAGATAAGTTGCTGTGAGTTTAAAACAGTTGCAAATTCATAGACAGCACAAGCACTGGAAGGTGTTATGTTTTTCTCGATATATGTCAGACATTCACTGATAAAAAAAATTTTTAATAATTAAAATAACATTTAATTATTAGATCAAACATTTTCTGGATTCATACAGTTATATTGTATATCTTATTTTATTGTTAATTTAAGTGAAATTTTTTATGTATATACAGTATATATAATTCTAATTAAATAGAATTAATTAATTGTTTTTAAAATTTTAATTATTTTTTAAAAAGATATATTAATAAATTCTATGATTATGAACTGTATATATAATATATATAATATAATTGTCAAAACAAAAAAAATATTAAATGATATATTTAAATAATTGGAAACTAATTAATTAATTAATAATTAATTTAATTAAATGATATAATATATAATATTGTGTAATATTATAAAGCAAATAATTATTTATACTTTACTGTATATACTGTATTGAATAAATTATTATATACTAACACTACTAAAATAGTAAATAGTAATTAATCACAAATTTTTTGTTTTATATCTATATTATTATTAAAAAAATAAATAAGTTTATATACTATTTTAAATATACTATAGATTTGTAAACTATTATTTATAAACAAAATTTTTTTTTAAATTTAGCTAAACTATTGTCTCCCTTACCGTAGCAGATGAGGTAACAGATATTTTTTGGCCGCATATGCCGTCAACATTGCGTCGTCCACCGAGTTTAGGTTCAACGAGTCTTTCAACACACAATTATAACACCCCCACCACCACCACCACCACCGCCCCCAATGGGTATAACAATAAAAATTATTTAATTTCATTTTCAGACAAACAAACTAATTATCACTATATATATATGGTTTTAATACCAACCCGTATAAGCATAACGTAATAGATTTTCAAAACCAATGGGTGCGATGTCGGGTATGCGAATCACTTTGCTTTTGTCGGCCATATCTCCGTAAAACATGGCCTCAAAAACTATAATAAAAGTTTTTTTAAAATTATTATTAGTATAACAATAAAAACACAACAAAACAACAACAACAAAAAAAAGATAATCAAAATTAGTTTTTATGTTGATTTTTAAATAATCAAAATTGTTTAAATAAGTTGTATATAAAGTTGCCAAAAAATTTACTAAAATAAGCTTAAAATAAAATGTTTAATTCAAATGTAATAAATTCTAGTGTTTTTTAAATTTTTTGTTTGTTTATTTGGGGATAGTTTTATCATTATATTTTGTTTATCACTGATAATCTACTATATTAAAAAAATTTTTAATGATTTTTTAAAAAAATTTATGGTAGGGACTACCAGTGCTATTTTGTTGATACTGGTAGATAATTGTATTATACAGTATAAATATATATATATCATATATATAATAAATTATATTAAATTATATATAATAATTAGTTACCACAAAATTACTAATAATATATATATATAGTTTCAACACAAATATTCTCAACTAATACGATAATTGTTACCAATAAAAAAAAGTGTAACTAGGTCATTTTTAATTGTAAAAAAAATTATAAAACTAATATAATATTATAATTATTTTTTTTGCCAATAATTTTAATTATATGGGATTTTTTCGTTTTGTGGTATATATATATTACACACCCATAAAAATATATATATACTGTATATTAAATAACTGTTTGGTGACATACCTGGCGACGTCATGGCCAGTAGGACCCGATGGCCGACATATTTCTTTGAATGTTGTGGCGGACCGACAATAAAGGTGACGTCCGTAAAGGACTTATTCTGCAATAGATTGGATGCCCGCGACACTAGACGATCACATTCACCGTTAATCTAATAGTTTTTTTTATAGTATTCAAAAAAATATATTAAACAACTCTTACTTATTTTGATTCCCCAAAAAAAATTATTATTTTTTTTGCTACCAATTTATATCCATATTATATTATATTACAGTACTGTAGATATATATATATATATATTGTATAAAATTACTATTATTATTATTAAATTTGTGACCAAAATATTTGAGTAGTTAGAGTAGTGGTTGCTTTTATGATGTCCATAGTTTTAATGATATTTATTAATTATTCATTAAATGCTATAAAAATATGTTTGTTTGGTTGATTTTGATCAACAAAATAAATAATAATAATAATAATAATAATTAAACTAGGTTATCGTTATCAATATATATGATATTATTTAGAGTAGTGAGAGTATAACACTTTATAAACATATATATATATATATATAGATATAATTTTTAGTAAATTGAATATTATTAGTATATAATTTTTTAAACAGTAATAATTGTTTTAGACTACTACTAGTAATAGACTAGTAGATGATATTCAGTATTGATTTGCATATAAAAATTTTTTTTAGTTATACTATGATATCATTATACCCAGTATTTGACTCTTTTTTTGTATTTTGAAAACTCAATGAAATTGCAATAATTAAAATCAGATAAAACATATGACGAATTTTAATGCCATTAAATTACTGACTATAACAACGACACGCATCATATCGGTTGCTGTCATATATTGAATATATATTATAATATATATATATATATATAATATACAGTAAAGTATAGTAAAATACATTATACAGTATGTCATATATAATAGCCCTGAGCTCAACCCTATACTATAAATTTCTCTCTCTCTCTCTCTCTCTCTCTCTCTCTCTCTCTCTCTCAGCTAAAACATGTCTCACATATTCTATATAAATATTATCGTTATTTACTATAATATATATATATATATATATATATAATACATGTTTATATATATTATGATTAAACCTAAAAAATCTTTTTTTTGTAGTATTTTTTTTTTGTTAGTTTGATTTATTGTTATTTGATTTATTAAACTATAAATTACTTCCTATATTTGTGACTTTCATGAAAAATCTTCATATAATTAAAATACAATCTATTTTATTATTATAAAAAATTTTCATTATAATAATTATAATTTTTTTTTTAAGTTAGTTTAGACAACTATTATTAAAATAAGTTATATATTTTTAAGATAATGTAAATAATTACTTTTTTTTGTTGTTGTAATTTTAATAAATGATAAAATTTTAATATTATGCATAAACATAAACAATATTGCATTAAACTAATTTTTTTAAAATTACATTATTTTATAAACAACTAAAAAATAATTTAAATAAATATTATTATTATATATTTTATAAATTTATAAAAATCAAACTTTTAATTTTCTATGTTTATATAATAATAATAATAATAACTATATTTATTTACTTTTATAGAAATTTAAAAAATATTATATAAAATTAGTATATAGTTTGCTATCAAAAAAATAAAATAAAACTGTTTTGTACAATAAATTCAATTATTTTACACTTTTTATATATAAATAAAAAATTATAATAGATAAAAAAATTTTATATTGAAATTTAATTTCAAGGACTAAATAAGCAAATTTGTGAAAAAAGAAATAATATACAGTATATATCAATATATAATTATTATTTTTAAAAAAAATATTGATTAATAAATGCAAGGATATATTTAGGTGGCGAAAAAATTATTCACTAAATAGTCATATAATATATATTTATATATATATATATAATTATATATAAAAATTATATATATATATATATATATCTAAATGTCTTACCAATCTTTGAAAGTCAACTTCAGATTTGATGACAGTGTGCTGACTGGCCCCCAGGGCACCCCCACTCGTATTGGTAGCCATGGCTTATATATATATATATATAATCAACCAAAAAAAATATTTATAAAACTTTTTTTTTTTTTTTTGGTTACAACTTTAATAACTATTATTTCACTAATTGATTAATTAGGTTGCAATCAATTCACAAACAAACAAAAAAATCATTGAATTTTATTTTTCTTAAACAATTTGTTTAAAAAAAATTTTATATTAAATATAAAACTTAGTAAACTTTTTTTTTTAAAAAAGTGTTTAATTGATATTTATTTAGCCACAAATAAAAATTAAAACTATTTTATATGTTTGTTGTTTTTATTATATTTTAACTACAGTTATGATCAACTACTAAACCCTCTCCAAGATTATCAATCACTATATATATATATATATATAATAAGTGAATGAAAAAAAATTGTCAAAATAATAGATAATATACTGTTTATTGTTTGTATGTAAATATCAATATATATTTATTATATCTGTTTTCATAAACAGTGTTTCATAAATTAGGTAGTAATGGCTAGCACTCAGAAAAAAGGGTGTTTAGTAGTAATAGTAATCATTTAGTATATGACTCCACAACTACCCATCATAACTACTACTATCACCACCAACTACTACTACTGCTGCCTACTAATCGTTTTAGAGGGTGTTTAACCCAAATGAGAGATCCTCTACTACTACTACTACTACTACAGTACCTATCAATGGACTGTATATTAGAGAGAGAGACAGTCATAATGAGGACATTAAACGCTTTGCATGAAATCTTATGTATTATAATTTGGTCAAACAATTTGCAATATTTTGTTTTTTTTTGTGTGTTATTATTATTATTAGTTTTTTTGTTGAGAGAGAGAGAGAGAGAGAGAGAGGATGAGATGTGCCATACATTGCATTACACATTGAGATAGTGATTGCATATACAGTACAGTACTGGGTATTACACATAGCATTACACCAATTGGGTGGGGTCTCCTACAATCAACCCATATATATATATATTTTTGTTGAATGTATTAATATTGCACACAAATATTATGTGTTACGCACTAATGAACACGTGTTTCGATGGTTAGGTACGTGCTATGAGATATACTGTGATGTACAGTACATACATGTGCCCCAGACTCTCTCTCTCTCTCTCTCTCTCTCTCTATAGCACAGTAGGTTTTTTTATATATATATTTAATTTGGTGGCGGTAACCAACAACAAACATATATACTGTATATATATATAAATTTATGGTCTGATTATTGCGCGCACAGGTATGTACTGGGATTGTATGTCTAACCAACAAAATATATATATCATATATATATATATATATATTAAAAAAACAAATTACAGTATTATGTCATAAAATCATAAATACTGAATAAATTACATATTTTAATATATAATATATGTATAAACCTACAGTACTATACATATATTATCATAGTTTAGCACAACTTTATATTATTATTATTATAATATTAATATTATTTTTTTGACTATTATTATTATTACTACTACAATGACCGGTTAATTATTATTAAATATTTTTAAACTATTGGCCTTAATTATAAACTATCATCAACTGTTTAATTTTTAATCACTATTGATCTATAAATTACCCAGTAATTAAAATATATTATATATATATATATAAAATTTGGGGAAAAAAGTAATAATTTCCGCCACACAAAAAAATTGCTATAATTTTTATTTTTTTTATTAAAAATATGTTATCTCCAAACAAGTTATTTAGCTTAATTACTTTTGTTTTGTTATATATATAATTAAATAGCTAGTAATTAAATAGATGTATATCTATTTTTTTTGCAATCTATATATATATATATAATTTATTATTAAATATTTTTTGGAAATTTTTTTAAAAAATATTTTTTATGTCTGAATAATAGCCAAAAAATAAATAAATAAATAACTATTCAATAGTAGATAATACTGTACTATTAGTATTGCATATAATAACTACTACTTAAATGACACTTTCGTACAATACATCAATAAATAAACAGTAAATAAATTTTTTTTTAAATTTTGACTTAAATATAAAAACTTAACATGGTAATTTTTTTAGTGCTAAATGTATAAAAAATAATAATTTATTTTGTTTAGTAAACAACTACTATAATAATAATAATTACTATATTATTAATTATTATAAATATCATTACAAATAATACCTGAAATAATAATAATAATGATAAATAATAATAATAACAAAACTAATTAGTAATACTTTTTTATTATTATTATTATTATTAAAACATAAAATACAAACCTTACCACACCTTAGCAACTTTGGTTACAATGAAATAAAATAAAATAAAATAATTATTAATTTTTTTACTAATCATTTGTATAAATATTCAATAATAATATTGTGTTTATTAAAGAAAATTATATATATTTAATGCTAAAAATGCTAAAAAATTTACATAAATCTTTAATTACAATAAAAAAATACAATTGTAATAGTTAATTGTTTGTAATAGTTATATAGAAACTATATTATTATTATTATTATAATTATTAAATATTAAATGCAGTGCAAAAAAATGTTTGTCTTTATTGTAAAAAAATTTTAATTAATAAAATTTATCATTTTTTTCTTAATAATCTAATCTAATAATAATAATCTAACTATTAGTGAAAATTTGATTTATTTATTTTATTTTTGGTTTAAAACAAACAACAAAAATATTCAATTTAATGGCTGATAAAAATAGTAGTGCTATAATAATATTGAAACAAAATAATAATAATTATAATAATAATAATGATAATTATGGTACACGTCTTGTACCTAAAAATGATAAATCGTTTGGACTATCAGTTGATACTATTGGCTATCTATTTGCTCCCAAACAGTACCGAAAATTACTAAAATTGTTGACAATTTCAAAAGTATTACCAAAAAGTTTATCATTAAATAATAATAATAATAATACTAATAAATTAGTAAATCAATGTAACACTAGTAGTGAGTGTCAACTTTGCCGAAAATGTATGAAACAATTACCAATTTATAATAAATATCAGAGTATTTGTCGGAAACTTAATGCAAATTTAGATTACAATCAAATTTTATTAACTAATTTTATTGATGATATCGATATTATTGATGTTTTCAAAACTAATTTAAATCATCCGAAATATTTAGCTAAAATAATTTCTAACAAATATTATATCAATAATAATAATAATAATTGTTATGATAGTCAACAACAATTAATTATTGATCAAATAGTTAGCGATTCACATAATAACTATTTAGCTGGCTATAAGCTATCAATAATATTTTATTTACTTAAATATTATAAAATAACCTACTATAAATGTTTTATTGAATTATCTAAATTTATTAGTCGGATTAAATTAATTAATAATAATAATAATAATAATTTTTATCAACTAAAACATTACAATAATAAATATAATTATCGTTTTACTAATTCATTGATTCAGGAAATACATAATCAATGGCTTGAAAACTATGCAAATATTAATATATTTAAATTTCTCAATAATATCAACGATAATAATAATCAAATAGATTTTAATGATTTTCAATTACATATCAAACATAATTGTCAACTATTACGTCAAACATTGCATTTGAATTGGATATCACAATGCAATGAACTAGTATTGGAAAAATATCGACAATTATTGTCTAAATTTGAAAAATTTGAAACCAAAAAATTGTTTAATACAATCAGTTCATTGATGTCTAGATTGTTAAGACAATTAGTTTTAGATAATATAAACTGGTGGCTATTATATCTAAATAATAGACTACTAACTAAATGTTTACCATTATTTAAAATATCATACAATAGTTGTTATAGCAGTGATAGAGATAATAATAATGAAAAAACTATTGATTTAATAAAATCATTGAAACAAATAATCAATTATCCTGTCTATCAGTTATTGGATTGTCAGCTAAATATCCATAGAATAGACAAACAATTAATGTATGGTTTTATTAATAGTAATAATAAACAATTAGATTTCAATGAAAAATATTTATTTTCAATTAATTTAGATGATTATGAAATACAAAATTTATTTAAACAATTAGACAATTTACTAGATTATAATTTATATGATAATTACTATGAAAATTATGAAAATCAATTAATCAATGATTTTCTAAATGAAATTAAATTATTCAAAATAAATCCACATAATTATGAAAAGTTAGATAAAATTATAAACGATTCAAAATTGATTCATAAAACAATCATATATTCATCAAATAGTCAATCAATAGGCGGGGGTTTATGTAATGTTTTACTCAATGATTTTAAACTATATATTAGGAAAAAAGTTGATAATATAGTCCGGGAATTGATTGAACAACAGTTTACGGAAATAATATCATTAGCAACCTATATATGCAATGAATTTCAGGATATTATCAAAAAATTTACAACAAATTTTACAACAAGTAATCAACTAATCCAAGAAATTAATGATTATGAAAATCTAAAATCAAAAATCCGATTAATGTTAGTCGATGTTAATTATGTGGAAAATAATTGGCATTTTTTAGTTGAACAGGGATCCATTGGTGGTGATGATGATGATGATTATGACCATCATATCATTATCATCAAAGAGATACACTTTGAAATACTACATAAATTGTATCATTTAAGTCATCAAATTGCCAACCGATGCTTGGATTATGAAAAACAATTCAAATTACAGTTAACTGATTGTCATCATAGACTGGATCAACGAATTGATCGCTTAAGACAACGAATAAGTCATCTCATGGATGATCTCCTGGAAAGTTTCAACAAAAAGAAACTATGGTCACCATTTGAAAATATTGATGATAATTGTCGACAATTGGATCAATTAGGCAACGAATTAGACAAATGTCTTGAAGAAGTCGAGGATATCAATGGCGAACAAAAACTAATCGGCGGTAAAGTGTTTGAAAAGTTTACGATATTAGACGATATGAGAGATCAGTTTAGACAAATTGATAGCATCTGGAAAACAGCGCAACTGTTTGAACAAAGAAAAACTGATTGGACTAATAAATCAGTAAAACTCTTGGATTTGGACCAATTGAATGAATCAATTGAACAAATGTTGAACACATGTCGTCGTCTATCATCAATAGATGAAACAACAACAGCTGATCTAAAAGAAAACACGGATTATCTGGAAAAATCTATCAACGATTTCAAAGATCAATTTCTGCCTATAGTGGAAGTGTTTCAAAATCCTAATCTAAAACCAAATCATTGGAAGTGTTTAAGTGATTTAATTGGCAAATATTTGACACGAGAGACATGTCATTCGTTGAATGATATTATCTCACGGATTCAGACATCGACATCGACAACAACAGCAGCAGCAAAATATGTGGCAAAAATCAAAGAGATCGGCCGTATGGCCGCCAGAGAACACGAATTGGATCTGTTCTTGAAACAAATGAACGAACAATGGGTCGATCATTGGCCAGAAGATGCTCTCGAAATAGCGGCCGAAAAATTTTTCGACGGCGAATGTCTTGAGTTAGGCGTCAAACAGAAATGTGTCGACGCTTTTAAGTTTATTTATTTAGATTGTCTTAAATTTGTGTCCACTAATAGGTGTGTCCATCAAAGTAGTAGTAGTAGTAGTAGTAGAAGTCATGGCTCAATACTACCGGATCTTATCGTAACTCCGCAGCTATTCTTGCGTTTTATAATGACATTCAAAGAGTTGCTAAGAGATCGACAAAAACGACTGTCATTTGAACGAAATCTTTTTGAAAATGTTTTGGAAAAAATTGATGTTTCTGTCAAACAGATCAAAGATCTACAAACACTTATTGTCGATGAATTACAGCCACTTCTCGAGCGAAACTCACTGGAAACCGAAGACTTGATGGTAAAAATCGAAAAGAAATCAATGCATATGGAGATTGCCAAAGAAATCATAGCCGCCGATGAAGCCTCGATGAACAGGTTGGCCGCCGGCGGTCAACAACTGCGAGACGAGTGCAGCCGCGAACTGTCGCTGGCAATACCGTCGATAATCAGTGCCCTGAATGCGCTGAAGACTGTCAAATGGGATCAGATAGCGGAACTAAAGTCAATGAAAAAGCCGCCGACAAGTGTCCGACTGGTGTTGGAAGCGGTCTGTATACTCAAGAATGGCAGCAGCGGTGGCTGTACTAAACCAGTCAGAAAAGTAGATCCGCTAACACTGAAGACATACGATGACTATTGGCAGCCGTGTCTTCGTATGCTAAGTGATGTCCGATTTCTGGACAGTTTAAAGTGTTTCGACAAAGATTCAATTGAACGCCAATCAATTGATTTGGTTAGAGATAGATATCTGTCTAAACTGTTTAATGGTAATCAAGATCTTCAATCGGTATCGCCGGCCTGTGCTGCACTGGCCAAATGGTTGCGCGCCATCGATATCTACGATCGGGTTATACATGTAATCAAACCGAAACGGGATAAACTAAGAGAAGCCGACGAACAGTTGGCTAACATAATCAAAGAGTTGAACGAAAAGAAGTCTGATTTACAACAGACGTGTCAACTAAGTCAACAATTGAACGACGAGTTCACCGATTTGTCGAAAAAACGCAAAGAACTCGTCGAAGAGATTGAATTGTGTCGCAGAAGACGGGATCGATCGCAACAACTCATAGATGGTCTCGAAGATGACAAACATCGTTGTAAATCGGCATTAGATATACTTCGCAAACAAGATCAGCAACTGATTGGCGATGTACTCATGAGTACAGCTTTTATTGTCTATACCAGTCCTTTCACTCCGGATGAACGACTTGTTTGCCTAAATAATTGGCACAAATATATTGAACATAATTGTCATCTGAAGCTAAATAATAATAATAACCAAAAATTCAATATAATTAATATACTATTAGATGATAAACGAAAACAATTGGATTGGTTTAACACTATAACTGGATTATCATTATTACTAAACAATCAATCATTGTTTAACATTGAAAATGCTTTAATTTTAGATAAATTTAAGAAACAAATATCATTGATAGTCATCGGCAGCGGCGGCGGCGGTGAAGACAACTTTATTTACCAATGGCTTCAAAAATGTTATCCAAATTTGATTAAAATTGATTTCAAAGAGTTATATGAATCACAACAACAACAATCATTAGATTTACTTTTAAAAGCCATAAGCAATGGAAATGCTGTCCTCATTGACAATATCAACGACGACGACAACGATGAAGACTTGGAGAGCAATGGTTTACTTATGGAGTTAATTGAAAATTACAAAACTATTAGTACAACAACAACAACTGTTGGTATCAAACAGGTATCAAAATTTAATCAAAAAAAAAATAAATATTTTATACTATATTTTTTAGCTAATTGTAAATTATCGGTAATAAATATATATTTTTTTAAACAGTATCTCAAACTAAATGATAAACTAATTGAACAATCGGATCAGTTTCGGCTGTTGATGTGCTGCAAATCGTATAAGCGATTATCACCGAAAATATTAAGCAAAATTAATTTGATAAACTGGTCGATGATGGCTACTTCGGATACTGTTGTTGTTGGCGGTGGTAGTGGTGGTGATGATGATCACGACAGCAATATTAATAAAATTCAATATTCTTGCAAACAAGAATCACAATTGATTGAATTGGCTGAACAACTTCTGAACATATTGTCCAATGTTGAGGTAATTTATCAATCAATTAGGTTACGGTAATCTTCAAAAAAATATTACCACAATTTATATATATAAACAGATTAACACATTGGACGATGAAAAAGCAGTTGATTTATTGGCAAAATATCAAATGATTACTAAACGATGACAATAGGATGGTATGGTATGAATAGGTGATGATATACGAAGAATAGACAGATCCCTCTCCCACCGATCGTTGTTCAATGTTTGCCAGTGTCTTGAGTCGATGATTGGTTGGTGGTGTTGTTGTTGTTGGCGGTAGTGTTGTTGTTGTTGATGTTGCTGTTTGCCTGCTGTAACAGTCGGGTCCTCTTTCGGGAATAATGTTGCCAATGAAGTAGCATCTGGTCGTCGATAAACTTCGAGCACTCGCTTCGGGACAGTTCACGCCGAAAGTGTTCGTATTGTAGTAGTTCTAGAAAATGAAGACACATTGGATGTCTGTATCAAATGAAATAAAAAAATAAATTGTAAGATAATTGACATCAAATAAGTGACAATTGATTTCTCTTTTTTTTTAAAAAACAAAAAATCTTATTGAGTGCCACAATGACAGACAGTTAGGACACCACATACTTGAGATACTTGGCGTACTCGGCCTTCTTCCAGTACTGAAGATATTCAATATAATTAATAAAGTTTTTGTCTTTAAAGTAACCGCGTTGTGCCAAAACTAAATGGTGGTACCGGTAATCAAGTAATCAAATCAATAAATTAGTTAATTGTGATCACAAGTATGGGGTAAGTAAGTGATGGTTACGGTAATTGATGAGACATACAGTTAAGATAATTAGGATTAGCCAAACATTGGACAAACTCGAGCTCTATCTGAAAGCACATCCGTTCTTCGGTATCTAAAAATTTATTTTGTTGTCGTCGAAGAAAATGAAAAATATTAAAATCAAATTTGATTTAATGATTTATTTTTTTTAACGGGTAATCAATAACTATAGTATTTACGGTAAATATATAAAAAACTAAATATATTAATAACATTATTAAAAAAATCATATAATTTCTAAAGTGTTTTATTATTATTATTATTATTATAACTGTTTTTTAATCAATTTTTTCTCAAAATCCAACCAAAGACTAATATCGTTGTTGTCATTGTCGTCATTGTTTAGCGGAACCGCTTCTTCTAATAGATTAGTTATAGATTTTTCTTCAAATAACTGATAATTGGTTTTTAAAGTATTTGAAGTTGTCTTGAAGTTATCGTAAGCCACACAAACACAATGATCTGAATCCAGTAGACTTTCCTCGAAGATCCAATTGTCTAACAGTTGATCATCGACTCTGACCACTGTATCAACTGTTACCGAATCACTGGACAGTTCAGGTGTACGGCAATCAAATGATATACGTTTCAAATTGAAAGCTATTCCCTGGCCGTCGGCCTTAACAAACGCTTCTTTCAGTGTCCAGAGCCGTATAAATCGCGACAATCTCTGCCGATCGTCCGATAGACAGCTATTGATGAACTGCCACTCACTGCCGCTAAACTGACGATTCATTATACGAAAAAAGTCGTCAATCGGTCGACCCGATCGTTGGCCTGAATACTCAATCTTCATAACATCGACACCGACTCTCTGCGAACCGTCAACTGAGGCCAACACACAGTAATTGCCCGAATGGCTGACATTCAGATCGAAGTGCGGGCGGTTATTGTCATCGTTGCCGTCGAGCACTGGACTGACCACAAATGGTTTACCACTTGTTGTTCGACCGAATCGTATGTCTTGAAATTCAATCGACGGTTTCAGACATTTATGGACACAACATCTCATGAGTAGCCGTCCGACCAGCGATAGCATGGCATCCGATCTGAAGACAAACTGATTGATTCGCGACAGTTCTTCGCTCTGAACGGATCGGACGGCTCGTAACCATTCCTCTTGAGTTGGTATCCATTTCGAGACGTTTACAAACCAACGCATTATTGTTTGGATTCAATCACCAATTGGTGACACACAAAGACAAAGATAGTTTGGTTGATCTCTCTATTTTTAATTACCTCTTAATTGTGATGGCATTATCTTTTGATCCATATTTTCTGTCTGTCTGTCTATTCAATTGGATAACCACTAAACCAGAAGACGTCGCGACAAATGAAAAAAACCCGTCAAATGAAGTCAACAATCGCTTAGTTTAACAATAATAACGACGAATACAACAACACAACAGACAGACGACTGACTCTCTCTCTCTTTCTTTCTCTCTCTCTCTTTCTCTCTCTCTCTCTCTCTCTCTCTCTCTCTCTCTCTCTCTCTCTCTCTCTCTCTCTCTCTCTCTCTCTCTCTCTCTATGTCTCTCTCTCTCTCTTTCTCTCTCTCTCTCTCTCTCTCTATGTCTCTCTCTTTCTTTTTCTCTCTCTCTTTCTCTCTCTCTTTCTCTCTCTCTGTCTCTCTCTCTATGTCTCTCTCTTTCTTTTTCTCTCTCTCTTCTCTCTCTCTCTCTCTCTCTCTATGTCTCTCTCTCTCTCTCTCTCTCTCTCTCTCTCTCTCTCTCTCTCTATGTCTCTCTCTCTCTTTCTCTCTCTCTCTCTCTCTCTATGTCTCTCTCTTTCTTTTTCTCTCTCTCTTTCTCTCTCTCTCTCTCTCTCTCTCTCTCTCTCTCTCTCTCTCTCTCTCTCTCTCTCTCTCTCTCTCTCTCTCTCTCTCTCTCTCTCTCTCTCTCTCTCTCTCTCTCTCTCTCTCTCTCTCTCTCTCTCTCTCTCTCTCTATCTCTATGTCTCTCTCTCTCTCTTTCTCTCTCTCTCTCTCTCTCTCTATGTCTCTCTCTTTCTTTTTCTCTCTCTCTTTCTCTCTCTCTCTCTCTCTCTCTCTGTCTCTCATAAACCAACAGATGGTGTGACTCTTCGTCTACTTCTTGTGTTTTGATTATACTGTAATAAAAACACCAAAGGATTGTTGTTTTGGTCGACCGGTTGACTGATTGCTGAAGTTTTTTGTTTAAGTGAAACCCAAATGCGGTGACAAATAATCGGTCGGTCGGTGGATGTCTTGAGATTTAGTTAGTTATAGTTAGTTCAAGTGACTAGTGATATGATGATCACCCGATTGTTTGTACCGACGGTGCTGATGGTGATGATGATGGCTATAACCGCCGATTCCGCCACTCCTACCGATGACCAATTGTCACAGTTTATGCAATCCGGCGGCGATCACAGTAACAATTGGGCAGTTTTGGTGTGCGCCTCCCGATACTGGTTCAACTATCGCCATGTGGCCAATGTCCTATCAATTTACCGCAGTGTCAAACGACTGGGCATTCCGGACAGTCGTATCATTTTGATGGTAGCCGACGATATGGCTTGCGATGCCAGAAACCCGAAGGCGGCCACCATTTACAACAACGGACAACACTATATCAATGTCTACGGCGACGACGTTGAGGTCGACTATAGAGGTAAATGAGGTGACCTGTGAGGTGTTGGACATCGTATCTCTAAATGTCTTATATAACCTCCCGTTTTGTTTGTTTGTTAGGCTATGAGGTGACCGTCCATAACGTAATCCGTTTGCTTACCGGTCGGGTACGCGACGGTACGCCCAAAACCAAACAACTACTAACCGATTCGGGTAGTAATGTACTCATTTATATGACCGGTCACGGAGGCGACGGATTTCTCAAGTTTCAGGACTCCGAAGAGATAACATCGGTTGAATTGGCCGACGCTTTCGAGCAAATGTGGCAAAAGAGGCGCTACAACGAAATCCTGTTGATAGTGGACACCTGTCAGGCCGAGTCTCTGTCGCAGAAAATCTATTCGCCAAATATTGTGGCCATCGGTAGCTCAAAAGTGGGCGAAGATTCCCTATCACATCACGGCGATCCGACTATCGGTGTCTACGTTATCGACCGCTACACCTACTATGCCCTTGAATTTCTCGAAAAAGTCCAAATCGGTAGCGACCAAACATTGGCACAGTTTATGGCCGTATGTCCGAAACGTGTATGCATATCGACGGTAAGCGTCAATACCGAAAACTATCGCCGCCGCGATCCCAGTCAGGTTCCGCTCAACGATTTTTTCGGTAACGTTGCCGCCATTGACCTCATTGTATTGGACAACCAGACAAATGTCGATTCAATTGCTATCAACAACAACAACAACAACGATGACAATAATAACAACAACAACAACGACAACAATATAAGTGAATATAAATTAGAGGCCAAACAAGTGGACCATCGCTACCATTATGTCGACGCCTTTCCGTTTTCATTATTATAGTCATTATTATTATAATTATAATTATTATTATTAATCGGTAGTGTTTTGAATACTTAAAAATATTTTTTTATAAATTTTATTATTTAATTTTTTTTGTTGTTGTAGTCATATAACTATATATATATATATATATATATATATATATATACAGTATATATAATGTATTATTGATGAAATTAATGATTTACTATATATATTTAATTTATTCAATTGATAAAAAAATTTGATTAAAAAATTAGTATTTTATATTTTTTAATATTTTTAATTAATAAAATGATTGAAAGTTTATTTTGTTTTTTTTGAAAGTTCAATGATTTTTTTTTGTTTGTTTAATAAAAAGACAATTACATTATTTTATTAATGAATAAAAATATAAATATATTTAGAGAGAGAGAGAGAAATAAATAGTATAGTAGTAGTAGTAGTAATAATAATAGTAGTATTAATAGTATTAATAGTAGAGCTGGTAGTCTTAAAAAGCGGACTTATTTTTTATTTCAAATATAAATATAAACTTTTTGTTTAAAACTTATTTTTTTGTTGTTGAAATTATATATCAATTAATATATAAATATATTTTTTTTAAAAAAAATAAGTTTTACACAAAAAGATAACAATAATATTTAATATTTAATAATTAATAATAATCGTAATAATTAAAAAAAAAATTATTCTTATATTATATAAAATGTTGGCTTTATTATTATAACAATTAAAATATAATTAATAATAATAATAATAATTAATTAATTAATTAATAATACGAATAAAATAATTTAGAGTAAATCTTTTTATAAATAAAGATTTGTTTTTTTTATATATATAATATATATAATACAATAAAATCAAAATAATTATAAAATGTTTTTAAAAATGTCAATAATATTTTCATTTTTCCAAAAAAAAAATAATAATAATAAACTTAGAAATAGTCGAGTATTTTATTGCAATTGAGCCATTAAAAGGCAAATAAGCCTTCAAAAAAAAAATAATTATAATTATTAATAATAATTGAAATTTTTTTCTCTTAAAAAAAATGTTATTTTAATACAATTTTTTTTCTCAATGTTTGAGATAACATTTAAATTCAGCTAAAAAACTGAAAGACAATAACTCAGTGTTAGCTAAGTTTTGACGGTTTTTTTTAATAATAATAATAAACAACAACAAATTTATTTAATTTTTTTAAAAAAAAAACATTTAATAATAATCAAAAAAAAACATTTATCATTTGTTGTTGTTTAATAATAAAAAGTTTATAATAATAATAATAATAATGTTTTGTTTTATATAAAATTATTTAACAAAGTAATAATTTTAATATTAATAATAATACAAAAAACTTTAATTTCAAGATTTTTTTTTTTTAAAAATTAGCTTTCTTCAAAAAATTCCAAGCGTTATATAATTATGATAATAATAATTAATATATCAAACTTATTTTTAAAAAATTATTTAATATTATTTAATATTATTATTTTTGTCTAAAAAATAAAAATATAGGCATTAATTGAATTATAATTTAATTTTTTAATTAATTAATATATAAATTCATTTCATTAATATTTTTTACACCAAAATTTTTTTGTTAATTAACAAGAATATAATTGATTAGTCATTTATTATTATGATTATTATTATATAATATTATATAATAATAATATATCATATTTTTAATAGTTATATATATAAATGTATGATTTATTAATATTTTAGTTTCTTAAAAATTTTTCAAAGTCTTAATATATATATATATGTCTTAATTATATATATATTTAATATTTTTATCTTTTAACATAATTAAATAAAAACTAATTTTTTTAAATATATATCTCGAAATTAAAGCATCACATGTATAATTTTTGTTAATATTATTTTTGTGTGTAATTATTAACAATAAATGCCAAACAAATTCATTTATATAATTTTTTATTTTTATATATATTTTTAATATATATTTAACCATTTAATTCAATATTTAGAAAAATTGAACTCCGAATCAAACAAACAAACAAACAAAAAGTTATTACCGACTGAACCACTAGTTTTTAATTTTATTTATTTATTTGATGATAAAAAAAGACTTCCCATAATATTTATTTATATAATAATAATAAAAAAATTGTTGTATTATTATATTTTTCTTAATAAATTATATTTATCATTATTATTATTATTACAAGTAAAAGACATTATATATATATATATAATATACTGTATATATATATAACAATTTCAATATCAACCCCTTTTATACACTCCAAACGCAAACTTGGGTTTAGTTTATTTATTTTTTTTTTGAAAAAAAAATTAAATTACTAATAATAATAATCATATGATTAAATTAGAAACAAGCAAATTGTGTTATTATATAACAACAAATTAATTAAATATATAAATGTATGTGTGTGTGTGTGTGGTTTGTATGTATCTATGTATGTGTATGTGTGTGTGTGTGTATAAAATTAGAGATAAAAGCTCCACAAAAAAAATGATTGATTGATTTCAAAAAATGATTAATATGAATGAATATTTATTTATATATATATGTATATAATGTAGTTTTTTAAATAACAACAACAACAAAAAAATAGTCACACAATTAGACTATTATTTTTTCTATAGTTATTATTATTAATATTCTGGGGAATGACATATATGTTTGAAGAATTTTTGTTATAATTATAAACAAATGATTATAAAAAAAACCAAAAAAAAAAAATTGAATGATTTCTCATAATTGAGACAAACCATGGCATTGGATGGCATGGTATGTGTGGTTGGTTAGTGTTGTTTTTGTATCATTATATTTAACTTATATTTATTTATTTATATATCATAACTTATTTTTTTTATTATTAACAAAATAGCTTAATGCCGCGACTCTCTTTTGTTTGTTACTCTCTCTCTAACCTACGATAACTAAATTGAGTGAAACTTTTTTTTTTCAACAAAAAAAAATTCAAAAAATAAAAAGTTTCATTTGGCGCAAACACAATAACTATCTGTGTGTCTATGTATTACTGTATATATATTTTGTGTGTGTATGTGTTTATTATAGATGCAATATCACACACACACACACACACATTTCAACCCTTGTATTTATCACATCACACACACAACTATATATATACCATATATACTGTATTTATAAATAAATATATATATAATATGCAATCAAATGGTATTCATCATAAGTAAATTGATATCATATCTATTGATATCATATATATATATTGTATATACAGTACAGTACTGTATATGAGAGCAACAATTCACAAAAATTCTGTGAAGTGTTTTTAAGTTTCAAATGTATTTTTATTATATATATATATATAAATATATATATATATAATATGATTGTATGGGTTATTCTCTATCTCTGATGGTATAGTATGGTATGGTATGGTATGGTATGGTATGGTATGGTATGGTATGTCTGTCTGCCTGCTAAATGTGGTGCTGTTTTTTTGGGGGCTTTTTATTATTATTATTAAAAGGCAACCAAACGACACATCCATTTAGTTTATACAACACATATACACAACTCGTGACAGACTTGTGTGTGTGTGTGTGTGTGTGTGTGTGTGTGTGTGTGTGTGTGTGTGTGTGTGTGTAATGAGTTCGTTAACATCGACACAACATATCGAGACACAGACTCAGACACTGGCATAACCAGAGCCCAGACTAACTCACGAGTGGGCAACACATCACTCGCTTATCCACATATCATATATATATATATATATATATATATATATATATATATATATATATATATATATATATATATATATATATATATATATATATATATATATATATATATATATATACAGCACTTAATATTATATATATATAGTGCTATATATATATATACCGGAGTCGAGACCCGGGTGTTATTGTACTCTATATTATCAAAAAAATGTTTACAATTTTAATACATTTAGCAGACAATATATATATACATTAATGATTTTTGAGACATTGTAATACACTATATATATATACTGTATATATATATATATATATAAATTATATCATATATATAGACATTGAGATTAAAGAGAGATTTCAAGTTAGAGAGGTTAGAGTTAAGAGTTTTATTATTTTTAATTGTATATATAAAGAGCGAGCATTATATTAACAATACATTTATATACAATTGTATATATCATATATACTTTATATATAGATATAAAGTTATTCAAGTGATTTGTATGATTTTTTTTTATAAATAAATGTATATATATTTATTTTTTTTTGATCGTACGTTCCCATTGTTTGACATCATCCCTGTGCACTGTACACACACACACACACACACACACACACTTAAACTACAACAACAACATAAAGGCATTTATATATATATATTGTATATATATTATTACACAGAAAAAAATTCACATATATTTCTCTCACTATCTCTATCTCATTCATGATTATTGCATTAAAAATTTTTTTTAATAAATATTTTGTTTGTATCCAACAATAATTTATTTATCATTTCTTTTTATTTATTTTTTTAGTCACTTATGGTGTGATCATCACAAATATTTAGTCGCAAACAATCAAATCTCTTAACAATTTTTTTAAACAAACAAATTTAATAAACCTATCTTTTATTTATATTATATATATATATAATATAATATATAACTTTTGATTCATAACATTTCTGTATCTCTCTTTCTCTCTCACACTAAACAAAACATAACATTCAAATCACAGCTTTTGATTGTTGATTATCAATAATATTATTATTATTATTAATAATAATGTGTAGTATATATACTACTATTACTACTAACAACTAGCATATTATATACTAATGTATATTATGTGGTGGACTATTGACGAAAAAAAAACTAACTTAAAGTTAATAATAATAATAATAATAAAAACAATCGCATTTACAACAAAAAAAATTTCTATCACCCAATCGATTAACACTTTTTTTGGTTAAAAAAAAGTCATTTAAATCCACATAAAAAAATGATTATTTTATCCACATTTTGTATCAGCAATAT